AATCCAATCTATTAGAAAAATCGAGTTATTACAGAAGAGTGTCCACCATGCACTTGCACTGCACTATTATTAGAATAGTAGAATTATAGAATGATATACAAATGGATGAAAATTATATATACATGTAACTGTTATATACAAATACAACAAACCAGAGTATACTAATTTGTATCACTACAATATAATAGTTATTACGGTGAGGTTGAATTCCCTGTCATTTATTCATCATCCACGCACGAACTTGTCTAAAAAAAATATATCTATGTACCTTAACCTCACTTTCAGGTATAGAGATGTGATTTTTTTTCTGAGACAAGTGCCAGTGACCATCCAACCCCCCCCCCCCTCTCTTCCCCTTACCACCCTCTTATATAAATTTTAACATTCAATAGCCATGTTACGCATACGTCTAATGTTCAGTGATTGAACTTTTGCTCGTACAAGTAATTCATCATACGAACTATGATATATTTTATATCCAACTGCAATGGCTTGGAATTTATCTGATAATAGCGGTCCGAGGATTGAATCTTTGAGTATCCCTTTCTGGATGTCTGCCCAACTGCTGAGTACTCCCTGAAGTTTGATTTGTTGCCTACAATCTGTAAGATAATTTTGAAGTGATTTCACAGATATTGAAAAAAGACCATAGGCAGATTTTTACTGAAAAGATTGCCAGGTGTTAGACAGTCAAAAACATTCGAAAGATCCATGAGTATTGCTGACACATACATATTTTAATCCAGAGCTGTGTTCCAATCTTCAAAGAGTCTCAGCAAAGTTGTCTGCCATCCCTGACCTTTTCTTTGTTACCAGATTTCTTTGATTTCTGTATTTCAAGTTTGGTTTGTTTTGTATTTATCAAATTTTGATCTCAACAGTTGTTTGTGAAAAATAGCTCAGTTCTCTCATGATCAGTCGAGTGAGTACATATATGGTATTGAGTTTAGATGGTTAAATTAATTAATATAAAAAAGAAGATGTGGTATGATTGCCAATGATACAACTCTTCAAAAGAGACCAAAATGACACAGAAATTAGCATCTATAGGTCACCGTACGGCCTTCAACAATGAGCAAAGCTCATATCGCATAGTCAGCTAAAAAAGGCCCAGATATGACAAATGTAAAACAATTCAAACGAGAAAACTAACGGCCTAATTAATGTACAAAATAATGAACGAGAAACAAATATGAAACACAGCAGAAAAAGACAGTGTCATTTTTGGTGTTTTGAATTCTGATATGAGTGATTTGTGGACAGATGGAGGAGGGGGGGGGGATTTATGGAATTTATTTAATTTATTTTTAATATGATTATATATTTAATGAACTCCAAAGCATTCTTAAGATGTATCATATACTATAAAAAAAAAAAAAACACACAACAACAAACGACAACCACTAAATTGCAAATTCCTGACTTGGGACAGGCACATACATACAGAATGTGGCGAGGTTAAACATGTTAGCGGGATCCCAACCTTCCCCTAACCTGGGACAGTGGTGAAGTTACGGATCCAGGGGGTGTCCGGGTTTGGAACCGCCTCCTTTTTTGGGGACGACCAATGCATTTGAATGGGGACATATAGTTGGAGCTCCCCTCTATCCTGGGTTGGGAATCCCCCTTAAAAATGGCTAGATCCGCCCCTGTGGTGTAACAGTACAACATGATCCAACATAAGAACGAACTATAAAAATCAGTTGAAATTAAAAGGCTTAACTCATCAGATGGATACAAATAAAGGTACATCTAACAAAAACACAGAGTGGACGAGGACGGGTACTTCGTACTTGTACATCCCAACAACAAAAAGACACTAATTAAGACAGACCTGAGAGTATTCGCAGTTACTCACAGCTTGTTCAAATCCAATAACAACTAATGAAAAAAATCATGCGTCTAAGACTAAATTATCAATCAGTACACATCCAACATTCAATGATTCATCCACTGAACTAGAAAATTCATTAATAGATTTATATACAGATGATTCTATTTTACATAGTAAAGGTAATAATGTACATGAGATAAATGCTAACCTTCAAAATGATATTTATGTAATTGAAAACTGGTGTTCGCAAAATTGTATGAAACTAAATGACAAAAAATGTAAATCAATGATTATTGGTTCAAAACAGAGGCTTTATTCAACTGGGAACATTTTAGATATCAATGACTCATCTATATTTCAGATGAACAAATAGAGAATGTAGATTGTGAAAAACTTCTTGGTTTATATATCGACAAAAACCTAAATTGGAATGAGCAAATAGATAAAATGTCCTGTAAATATCAAAATAGAATCAACTTATTACAAAAGATAAGAAAGTATTTACCTATGCATATATCATATACGTATTATTTATGTTAATGCTTATATTCTGCCATTGTTTAATTATTTTTGCAATATATGGGGTAGTTGTTGTGAAGGTGGAAAAAAAAATTAATAAATTATTAAAGAAATCTGCTAGGGTTATAGTAGAAGCTGACATAATGACATCCTCCAGTTTATTGTTTAATAGTTTAAACTGGTTAAATGTGGAAAAACGAATTCAATATCAAAAGGCAATACGTGTATTTAAATCATTAAATGATATGGTTCCTAACTATTTACAAGAACACTTTCATTTTACTGATACTCAAAATTATGATTTACGTTCATCTGATGAAAAACTATTAAATCTTCCAAAGCCAAAAACAAATTTTTTGAAGAAAACATTTACATATTCTGGTTCACATATATGGAACCCTTTACCCAATGAAATAAAGATGAGTAATACACTTGTATCTTTTAAAGGGGCACTAGCTACGAGATATATAAAAAATCTAAAGTATGATTTTTTTTGTTCAATCATTGATGAAAGTGAAATAATAATTCGCTTTAAGCAGCCAGTATGGTTCAATTTTGTCAAATTAAGCTAAGAAACAATGATGATAAATTATTCACTTGCAAGTGAATAATTCGACCTAATTGAATCCGTATTCATGTGAACTTTAATTTAACCCCTTAGCTAGAGACGTATAACGCATGCATTGTGCGTGTTAAGTTATTTAAAGGAAAAGAATGTCAACATTGAAAGTGAAACAAAGGTAAATCATTTGATTGACTGATTCGATCCACAAAAAAATCATTCTTATACAGGTAAAAACGATGATTAACATATATTTTTAATCCATAATATGAAACAGACCTAGAAAAATCCAATTGCACGATTTCGCGTTCTATTTATATCTATATTTATGTTTATATCGCTTATATGACCATCGGAGGTATTCGGAGGTCAACTCCGGATAATACTGATTAGATGGCGTCAAGACTTAAATACACACGAAACGAAGCTACATATTATCGACCCCATGCCCTGTAAATTGTTTATTTTAGACTTTTTATAATTTGGATAAATGTCTTACATGGTTATAAATCAAATATGAGAATTTGAGTCAAATCGGTGAACATGAATTTGACAGCTAGTGTCCCTTTAAAGTAAAGTAAAGTAAAGTAATCTTTATTTAAAGTCGGGTTGGATATATACATAATAACAAAGAACATGCGCTCTTAAGAGCTCTTTAACCGACTGATATTAATAAACAAAACATACATGTAATAACATCAGATTCATATACAACACAAACATACAGACAGCACATACATGTATTAATACATAGATAGCACATGCAAAATAAAAGCTAAGCAAGATATATATTAAAACAAATGTTTAATATCAGCACATAGTAACACACAATATGTGTATCCAAGTAGCACATGCAAAATTAAACACTTTAAAGCACAAACAAAAGACTGCAAGCAGCTACAGCACAGGTAATGCATAAGCAAAGCAAATAAATAATAAATAAAAATAACTGCAAAAAAAAAAAAAAAAAAACATAAAACAAACAGCAGGCTTCAAGGTCAAGTCATGTGGCAGCAAGGAGTTACATTATTTACAAGAACTGCAGGTATAACTTTCTGAAAAACACCAGGTGGAGATAAAATTTTTGAACTGGCCAAAAATTGATAAGCTCCTTGCCTCATTTGGCAAGGAGTTCCAGAGTCTTGATGCCTCATAAGTAAAGCTTTTCTTACCATACCTTGTTGTTTTTGACCGTGGTATATCCGCTATGCCTTTGTACCTGAAGTTATATGAATTTTCTTTAATGTTTATTAAATTATGCAGGAATTCTGGACTTGATTTATTAATTATTTTATAAGTCTCTAATGCCATGGTTCTCATTCTTCTGATTTTTAGTGCTGGTAGCTTAGACTGTTCAAGGAGTGTATCGTAAGAATTTTTGTAGTCATCATAAATGAATCTGAGTGCTCTTTCTTGTATTTTTTCTATTTTCTTTGTGTTTTGTTCACCCTTTAAAACAAAATGTTACAATTTTTTTCATAAATTGTGCAAATTAATATGTTTTTTTCATTAATATCTATATACAATTGTATATTGTATATGATATATCATTATAATATTGTATGTACTTTATAAATATGTTATTATTATTTTGAGGACTCTCGCGAAGATTAGTTTTAACCACAGGGACTCGATGAGCAGTTTAGGATTTTTCAGTATACGGATATGGATAGTAAACTGTACATTGCTAGAAAACAAAGAAATATTGATGCCAACGTTAAAAACGTTAATAATGTAATACAAATAGACAGGAAATACGAAAAAAAAATAATTGAAAAACATTGATAATCAAAATTTTAATCTGCTAACCGAGTCCCTGTGGTTTTAACTAATGAGATTATCCTCTTGAAATAAAATTATAGATTATTTATGTATTTATTTATTTCATTACTTAAAGTTTGAATAATAACACCACTTTATTTTTTTTAGTATGTTGTTCAGATAGATAGTAGCAGACTTGTTTTCCAGAGAAAAACTTTGTGCTGCAATTACTTGCAGGTTATTAGTATAAAGTTGATTCAACCCATTACAGTACATTATGATCTATTCATACATTTCGGTCTTCAGATTAGCCAATTAAAAAACGAAAGTAGGATTTTGCAGTATTCCATTTTCAAGTTGCAGGTTAAACAGAAGATAAGTCAAACACCAGAACTCAAAGGATCATCTGCAACACATAGGAATCAAACTGTGGAATCAAGTAGAAACCAACTGGTAGGAATTGACTAAATTGTAAAAGGACTCTCACACAGATTGATCACAAGGCACAGGAAATGAAAGATATGACAACACCCAAAAAAGTACTTCTACTTGTGTACAGACATGACATATTCACTTGTAAAAGTTTTAAAGCATGACATTCCTTTGTTTGTTCCCATAGACATGTTTAAATGTACCAAATAAACAAACAGCTGAATTTCATCAAATAAGGTCCACTTAGTTAGGAAACTACCATTCAATTTTTGAGGAAAAGGGGGAGATGTGATGAATGGGGTCGAGAGGGGGTCTCATCCCGATTTCCTAGTCCAAATAATTATGACGTCTTGAAAGGCTATTTTATATTTTGCTTTGACGCCTTTCCCAGACTGCTTTAAAATTAGAAAATTCTGGAATCACAGACTTGTTTTGTGAAAAATCCAGACCAAGATAAACAGTCAAGGGTCTAACTTAAATAAGTTATTAGAGAAAAATAACATACATTTGTTATTGAGGGCTAAAAAATCAAAAATCTGTGATAACATATGTATGTTACATGTTTCAAAGGGGCATTATACAGCCTTTATTTTGTTAAATTGTGTACTAGTTCTATTGATATTATAATTGTCTTTATGTATATTAAACTTTAAAAAGATATAACAGCCCATAGTTTGCCAATCATGCATAACACATCCATGTTATTACAGAAAAAAATATGCCTGTAATAACTAAAGGGTGTTATTACAGCTTCTCTACATCTCTTCAAAGCCTTTTCTCCTATATATATCACAATGTATTTTAATTTATTGTAATAAATAATGATAAGAGCATGTAATGAGGTTCTGCGCAAGCTTCCTAGTCATTCCCAAGTGTCTCATGTAATAAGTTAAATGCCTGTATTAACTAAGCCTTGTTATTACAGCTAAGTTATCACTTAAAAGCCTTGTCTCATTGATTTACCATGGTTGATCAAAAATGTATTAATTGAATTGGAAAACTAGTTTTCAAGGTTATGTATTAAGTTACTGCGCAAGTTTCAAGAATTCCCAAGTGCTAACTGAAAATAAAAATTTTTATGGTACATTTAAATGATATCAAACATATGTTACTACAGATTAAGAGAAAGTATCCGTAATAACACATGTATGTTATTCTTTTCTCTAATAACTTATTTAAGTTACACCCTTGACTGATAAATTTGTTTGACAATTTGAGAGTTTGAAGGTTCAATGATTTAAATGCTCAGGTATGATTGATGTTCTGTCAGCCGTAACCAATCAGACAATTTATCATCAATATTACTCTGACTGACGTAAAGCTGCATAAAAACATTTTTGTTCTCATAAATCTTTGGTAGGCTGCGTGAGTGAGTCAGAGAATTGGCCGATGTATTTCTATCCCAAATTCCAGATAGAATTTCCCGTTGTTAAAATCAGCCAATCCTGGCGTCCCGAAAATGGTCTTCAGAATATTTATTTAGAAAAAAACCATAGCCCCCTCCTCTTTCAGAGTTAAATGGATGGTGGTTCCAGTGCACAGTTTAAGTCAGCAGTTATCTATTACAAAATAAGGAAATGTGGTATGTCGTCAGATTTCCATTGAGACCAGGGTTCAAATGAAGTGGATGTAAGCAATTATAGGCAACCATACTGCCTTCGACAATCAGAAAAAACCATACTGTATTGTCCGCTATAAACATGATAAAAGACCCCGACATGAAAAATGTGAAACAATTCAATTCAGAAAACTACATGTAACAGCCTGAATTTATAACAAAACAATGTGACAGACATGAACCAACAACAACCACCGAACCACAGGCCCCTGAGGCCATTCAAAAAAGATTCTTGGTTTCCCCTAACCTTAAGACAAATTATCAATGATACTCTAATTGTTTGATAATTTCTTTTAAAATGTTTAATTTATCATTCTTTAAGTTTAATATATCTTATATCATTATAAATGTTATATATATATATACGGTACTTGTACATCAAGATATAATGTCGAACAAGTTTTTGTTTAATCTGTTCTGTCAGTGGTTTAAGAAAAAATATTCTGTTGGGGAAAATTGCATTTGCCTCATTTTGCAAATTTTTTTTTAAAAAATGAAATGTTTACCTGCCTGCAGACATTTACATTTTTTTTTTGTGTAATTGGAAACTAGCTTTAAATTTTCAATGGCCTGACATGGGACAGGCACATAAAGAATGTGGCAAGGTTAAACATGTTTGCTGGCACCAAACCCTCCCCCTAACCTGGGACACTGGTGTAACAGTACAACATAAGAACAAACAATAAAAATCATTTGAAAAGCTGTCAAACGATTTACAGGAAAGAACGATGATTTACTGAACAGACCAGAAATGGACAAAAAAAAACCAAAAAGGAACTGAAAGAGCGTCATGTATAATTGAGATGGTTTTCCCCTTTGAATGGTTTTACACTAGTAATTTTTAGGGCCCTTTATAGCTTACTGTTCGGTGTGAGCCAAGGCTCCGTGTTGAAGACCGTACGTACTCTGACCTATAATGGTTTACTTTCATAAATTTTGACTTGGATGGAGAGTTGTCTCATTGGCACTCATACCACATCTTCTTATATCTATATATACACATGTATTGTTATTGATTATGCATAATAAGTGAATGGATCGTTCAAACTTAAACTGTAAATTTTATAGACTAGAAAGAGACAGTATAACTTGATTATTAAAGTAATAGTTTTTTTAATTCTGTGGTAGCAGAGGGGGCGTTAAGTTTTACCTAGTTGTCCGTCTGTATATCGTACCGTCCGTCCGTCTATCCGTCCGTACGTCCCGAATTTGGTTTCCGATCTCTAACTTTGGTTGGACTCTAAAAAATGTTATGAAACTTATACACAATGTTTATTACCCCAAAACACAGATCAAATTTGAATTTGGATGGCACCACTTTTACCTTTCTAGAGTAATGCCCCTTTACAAATGGAAAATTGCTGAATTTTTCATTTCTGTTCTCTAACATAAGTTTGCCTCAACCAAATGTTAATAAACTTATACACAATGCTTATTGTGAATTAACACAGATCAAATTGGAATTTTGGTGGCATCACTTTTACCGTTCTAGAGTTACGCCCCTTCACAAATGGAAAAAAAATGCTGATTTTTCGTTTCCGTTTCCTAACTTAAGTTTGCCTCAACCAAATGTTATGAAACTCACACAAACTGCTTATTACCACAAAACCCACAAAACACAGATTAAGTTTGAATTTTGGTGGCGTCACTTTACCATTTACAGGAAAGAGCGATGATTTACTGAAAAGACCAGAAATGGACAGAAAAAAAACCAAAAGGAACTGAAAGAGCATCATCTATAATTGAGATATATATTGTTATTGATTATGCATAAGTGAATGGATCGATCGTTCAAACTTAAACTGTAAATTTTATAGACTAGAAAGAGACTGTGTAATTGATTATTAGAAATAGTTTTTTCATCCCGCTGTAGCAGAGGGGCATTAAGTTTTACCCTTGTCCGTCTGTATGTCTTACCATCAGTCCGTCTATCCGTCCATACTTCCCGAAATTGGTTTCCGATCTCTAACTTTGGTTGGCCTCTACAAAATGTTATGAAACTTATACACAATATTTATTACCCCAAAATACAGATCAAATTTGAATTTGGATGGCGCAACTTTTACCTTTCTAGAGTTATGCCCCTTTACAAATGGAAAATTGCTGAATTTTTCATTTCTGTTCTCTAACTTAAGTTTGCCTCAAGCTTATACACAATTCTTATTATGAATAAACACAGATCAAGTTGGAATTTTGTTGGCATCACTTTTACCGTTCTAGAGTTACGCCCCTTCACAAGTGGAAAAAAATGCTGATTTTCGGTTTCCATTTCCTAACTTAAGTTTGCCTCTACCAAATGTTATAAAACTCATACAAAATGCATATTACCACAAAACACAAATTAATTTTGAATTTTGGTGGCGTCACTTTTACTGTTCTAGAGTTATGCCCCTTTACAAATGGAAAAATTGCTGAATTTTTGGTTTCCATTCTATAACTTAATTTTGCCTTATTTTTACTTTTCTTAAGTTATGTCCCTTTATAAAGTTATATGCAACAGGGTGTCACCTGTGTCCAATGGACACATTCCCCATTTATCATGGTTTCTTTTTTATTCATATAATAAATTATCATACATATATCCTATCAATGATTTTAATCTAACACAAAAATAAATGAAAACTAAGATTGTACTACTAAAAGAATTGAGATTGGAAACAGGCAATAATCCTCCCAGAATGTGTCAAATGGACAAGAGCCTGACCAAAGAGCCCAAGGCCACAAATGGGTCTTTAGCGCAGCTAGAAAATCTCGCATCTTCCATCAATACACATGATACAGTTCACTTCAATTATTACCTATTAGGAGATTCTTTTAAAAACATCTTTCCTACTTTGTAACGTACCTTCTGTAGAAAAGAAAAAGTGCACATTATTTTTTTCTCAAGTTTTTTGGCACATTTTTAGCTCACCTGGCCCAAAGGGCCAGTCAAGCTTTGCTAATTCCTTGACATCTGTCGTGGTCCATTAACTTTTACAAAAATCTTCTCCTCTGAAACAAAGTGGTCAAATTTAATTAAACTTGGCCATAATTATCACTTGGGTATCAAATTTTAAAAAGCTGCCAACTGACATGGTCAAAATGGCTAAAGATAGAACATAAGGGTTTAATGCAAGTTTTGTCTATTACACCAATCTTGAAAACCTTTAGAAATAGAGAAAATCTTAGGTTGGCAAAAATATTCAGAATGTTAAGATCTACCTATTGTAAATTAACATCAAATTTGTCAAAGAAATATTTTTAGGAGTTATTGCCCTTAAATGATGAAATTTACCATTTTTACAGCAAATGACCGTGAGGGCACTCCGGTGTTTTGTTGCCACAGACATTTCTACCCATGTGACTTGTGTTTTTGACTGATAACCGAACATATTTCGTATAATTACACGGATATTATCGAGTGCAAAATAACATTCCTTATCGCTTGTTATGTCTTAATTTCATCAATAAATATTCATGAAAATAATTTTTAAGAACATAGATTAATGTTATGAAAATGTTTTGTCGTGAGAAATATATATATCAATAACAAATCAAGAATACCGAAAATTTGTGTTAACGCATGCATAAGAATATCTCAAGAACGTTTTGCAACAAACGCGGGAAAATATGAATGTCTACTAAAATCCAATCTATTAGAAAAACGAATTATTACAGAAGAGTGTCCACCATGCACTTGCACTGTACTATCATTAGAATATAGTAGAATAGAATGATATACATATGGATGATAATTATATATAACTGTTATACAAATATTAATATAATATATAACAACAAACCAAAGTATACTGAAAACAGTTGATTATATCACTACAATATAATAATTATAACGGTGATGTTGAATTCCCTGTCATTTATTCATCATCCACACACGAACTTGTCTCAGAAAAAAATATATCTATGTACCTTAACCTAACTTTCAGGTATAGAGATGTGATTTTCTTTCTGAGACAAGTGCCTGTGACCATCCACCAGAACTTGCAGTCATCCGATGTTCAGTACTTCAGTACTTTGATTTGTCTTGCCTTCATGATGGAGTCAAAAAGTGAGACATAAGTATGCTGTTTCCAGCAGCAGAAACATCAACAATAGTTTGTGATTAATGATTTATGGGAACCACTTGTAGTAGTGGTATGTAAATGTTATTTGGTATGCAGTGATAATAGCATTGACACATGTCTCATTTCCATAGAGATTATTTGGCCCCACCCCGTCAGTCATCAAGTCTATTGACTTTTAAACTTTTGCTTAGTTTACATGTATTAGTTTGTGATTAAGTCATTTTATGGGGAACCACTAGACTAGTGGTAGGTCAATGATATTTGGTATGCAGTTGTATTTAGCATTGGAACATCTCATTTCTGTAAAGATTATTTGTCCCTGCCCCCTCGGTCATGGTCTATTGACTTTGAAACTTCTGCTTAGTTTACATGTTAAAGTATTGCTATTCTAATTTCAACATTTATATTTTACTATCAACATAACAAAAAGGCTAGACATACATTTGAATCTCTTTGTGTTTGTTAACCGTTTATTTTCATTTTTGCCTACTAAAAACCATGATAGGTAGAGAGAAACTTTGATAAGCAAAAATGATCTGACAGCAAGACAAGATCACCAAATAACAACAATGAATAAGTTTACACATGGCCAAAATGATTTGACGACACCTTGTAGAGTAAACATGGTTAATGCTCTTAAATGATAATTTTACAATTTTTTGGTGTTTTTATTTAATAGCTTAAAATTTATAAAATAGAAAGCAACTTAAATTAGCAAAAATGATCAGCAATACAGGATCTAAAAAAGAGTCAACATTGCAGAAACAGTCTGAGGACTCCTTATTGGACTCGTTGCATGTCAGTTTGTTGACTATTACGAAGCCCTGCCCCATAGGTCATGGTCCAACATCTGCAACTATCAAGTAATAAGCAATTTTATAAAGTTGCATTACTATCAGTACATATCAGTTTGTCTACCATTTCCATCGAACTACTTGTTAAAGATCAATGATACTTTCTATAAAGTTGCATTAATTACTATCAGTACATATCAGTTTGACAACTATTTTGAGGCCTGCCCTCTTAGCTTGGTCCAGTGACTGAATTAATTAGCAATTTTGAATGTAAAGTTTTCTGCTTAAATCAATTTGATAAGAACTACTCGCATGACTTGTGATAGATCATTGACATCTTTTATAAAGATGCATTACTATCAGTACATCTCGTTTTTTCAACCATTTCGAGCCTCTCTCCTACAGTTCATGGTCCAGCAATTTTAGAGATGGGGTTTGGGCTTTTAGAGACAGTCCCCCTGTGACTGAGGTTGCGGAAGGTGAGACATAGGTGTTGTTTTTCTGGCAGCGTCATTATTGGTTGTGTCAACAATTGTTTAAGTTTTCTGCTTTTAAGTCTGTTTGATAGGAAATTACTTGTGATGGATCAATGATAATTTCTAAAAAGTTGCATTACTATCAGTACATATCAGTTTACAAGTATTTTGCTGCCCTGCCCCTGTAGGGCATGGTAAAGTGTCTTTAAATTTATTACCAATTTTCAAGGTTAAGTTTCCTGATTAAGTTAGTTTGATAGACAATGATAATTTCTTTAAACAAATTAAAGTTGCATTACTATCAGTACATATTAGTTTGTATACCAGTTCCATGCCCTGTACCCTAGTTTCCTTTTCCTGAATATTCTGCCGACAGGCAAGACATAACTCCATGTGAACAGTTTATTAGTGTTTTGCCTTATATCTTGAAAACATTTAAGCAACCAAAAATCAATCATTCAATCTATAAACTATTTTGTTTGAATTTTTTTACCCTTTTTTTTGCGTTTTTGGCAAAAACTAAAAAAAGATAGAGAAAAACTGTAAACAGAAAAAAAAATTACCACCATTTCAAGATCAAAAATTTTTTTTTTTCATGAATTCTATTCTAGACCACATACTGGAGAGTGTCCATTGTTGAAGATGCACATAGACCTAGGTGAGGAGCACAGGCTCTTTAGAGCTTCTATTTTCAACTTTATAATCATTCTTTTTAAAAAACAAAACATGCACCATAAAATAAAAGAATGAATAGTTGGTTAATAATACCTTCTCATATGTTATGAATCTTTCTTAAACTAGAGCCCATAATAATCAAACCCCATCATCATGATAATAGCATAAAAAGATATATGCAGAATGTCAATGAATAAGCAACCAAATGACAAAATTAATTAATAGGCATCTAGAGAACATAAAATCTTCAATGATAGACACCAATTTCAGCTTTAAATACCCTAAATCAGTTTTTTTTTTAATGTGGGTTTAATTTTCACTATACTTGTAGCAGCTAAATTGACACAAAATGTTACCATGGAGAGTAAATTTCCCTGCATTTTCCAAGCTTTATCACTGTTTATAGGTTTCATACATTATACTGTTAACTATAACTATCTTTTGATTAAAAATGAAATTTAAATAAAATCGCATTTACATGGATATTTGCATATATATGCATTAGAAATGCACTGTTATTCCATAAAGAAATAAAGAAAATTATAAAAGTATTCAATTCTTTAACATGCCTCTTTGTACATGTTGTAAAGTTGTACATAATTTACTTAACTTGAATGTTCTCCAAATAATGTGTAAATGATTTGTAGTACTTAGTTGTTTACATCTCTCAGTAGTTTACTGTCACTTTACAACTTTAATGATACATGGACTCCCCTCCCCCTGTATTTTCCAAATTTGGGGAATATTTAACCTGTCCAATTACATAAATTATGTCGTTTAATCATAAAAAAAGGTTGATGGGGAAAAAAACCTGAAAATCAGTATAACAAAAATCCCCTTTATCACAGCACAGTACACATAACACTAACAATATTTCTAACTTTTTTGTCAGGTACCTGAATATGTGACATGGTTAAACTTTAACAAAGATGCGAAGGCAAGACTTTAATATGCTGTTTCTTGCGGTGAAGATGGCTTCAACAATGTATTAGTTTGTGATTAGGTAAGTTTCAGAGTAACCATTATCAGCATTGGCACATCTCATTTCCATTTAAATTATTTGGCCTGGACCCTAAGTCATGGTCTATTGACCTTGAGCATTTTACTTAGTTTGCATGTTAAAATTGGTGATTAGGTCAGTTTAAACTGTTTAAGGGGAACCACCAATGGTAAGTCAAAAATATTTGTAATCATCCTTCCCTGAAGCTGAGGCTTCCGAAGCTACACAAATCACCTTACAAATATAGATTTATTTCGTCTTCAAGTCATTGTTCCACTACTAAATTGTCTATTCTACTTACTAGTACACTTGGTACAATCAAAAATCTGATAATAAATTGTTCAAATAAGGCCTTTGAAAATAGTGGAATTAACTACTTTTGGAGTGTGAAAAACTCATTGGAAGTACTTGATAAATTGCATGCATATATTGGTGATTTTGAATCTTTTCAAAGTTTTGATTTTTCTACCCTATATACCACTTTGCCTCATATTCTTATAAAGAAAAAATTCACACACCTAATTAAATGGGCATTTAAAAAGTCGGAATGAGAATACATATGTTCAAACTCTTTTAGGTCATTTTTTAGTAGCAACAAACAAAAGAGCTATGTCAATTGGACATGCTTTGATACTATATCTGCCCTTGAATTTTTACTTGATAACATTTTTGTTCGCTTTGGAGATTCTGTATATCGCCAAGTTATCAGAATTCCTATGGGGACTAACTGTCCGCCACTTATTGCGGACCTGTTTTTGTATTGTTATGAGTTACAATTTATGACTAAAATCAGCAAAGACCCATCGAAACAACATCTGATACAAAAATTTAACAATACTTTTAGATATTTGGATGATATATTGGCTCTCAATAATGACGACTTCAGTATGTATACTAAAGAAATTTATCCTGTTGAACTTACTTTAAATAAAGCTAATACTAACAATGACCACTGTCCTTTCCTCGATCTTGGTATCTATATCATTAACGGGAAGCTTAATACAAAAATTTATGATAAAAGGGATGATTTTTCATTTCCTATCGTTAATTATCCATTTTTAGATGGTGACGTTCCCTTGTCACCATCTTATGGTGTTTATATATCTCAACTTGTACAATTCACTCGTGTATGTAACAACGTATTAGATTTTAGCGAGAGAAATTTATGTATCACTGAAAAATTATTACACCAGGGTTTTCGATATCATAAACTTGTCAAAACATTTACTAAATTTTATCATCGGTATAAGGACATCATTCGTAAATATAACTCAACATGCAGACATCTTATACGTTCGGGTATTTCACATCCAATCTTTTATGGTAATATTCTTTACAAAGCACAAAAATGTCAGTATTCACCTCAAAAGCTAACAAAACCTTTAAACAGACTTATTAAGAAGGGATATAGTTACGATACTGTTGTCAGGTCATTAAAGATTGCATATTTTGGCTATAATTTGGAGTTTAGTATGACGTCCATTATCACTGAACTAGTATACATATTTGTTTAGGGGCCAGCTGAAGGACGCCTCCGGGTGCGGGAGTTTTTCGCTGCATTGAAGACCCATTGGTGGCCTTCGGCTGTTGTCTGCTCTATGGTCGGGTTGTTGTCTCTTTGACACATTCCCCATTTCCATTCTCAATTTTATGGTTATAGAACAATGAACAGATTATCAGGTTTTTTATGTATAGAAATTGTAAAATATAAGCTGCTTGACACAATGTGAAGCTTTGTAACTCATTGGCTGCACTCACTTGTAAAAATGTTCAAATTTAGCTCACAGCTGATATTTTACTACATCAATGCAAAGAAAACAATCTATACATATGCAATTTTATCAGCGTTGATTCATGTATCTGATAATTAATGTAGATATGTTGGCCCCTCTCCCTCAGTCATGGTCTTTTGCCTTTGAAACTTTGCATAGTTTACATGTTAAAGTTTTTGATAAGGTCAGTTTAAGATGAACCACTAATGGTCATTCAAAATGTCAATGAATTCAAACAAGAAAAACCAACATTTATGTACAAAACAACAAACTAAAATAAATATGATTAACAGCAACTAATGACAACCATATAATTACAGGCTCCCTACTTTAAACAAGCACATACAGAATGTGGCGGGGTTAAACGAGAAATGTTTTAATTTATCAGTCCACTCACTGGTGACCGGCAAATTTTGACAAGGACACCAAAATATCTTGAGTGTTTTTAATAATAAAGATAACTGCAGAAAAGGTTACATAATCCACCAGGACTGATAAACTAAAAATAGATTTCAACAACTATGTGATAAATATTTGCAGTTGCCAAAACCTCCCCCTTACCAAGGACAATGATGTTACATGCATACATCCCGTTTGAATGGTTTCACACTTGTCTTTTTTTGGGGCCCTTGATAGCTTGCTGTTCGGTGTCAGCCAAGGCTCTGTGTTGAAGACGGTACTTTGACCTATAATGGTTTACTTTTACATATTGTGACTTGGAAGGAGAGTTGTCTCGTTGGAGCTCATACCACATCTTCTTATATCTATATAGCACAAAAAAAAAAAAACATGCAGTAACAAAAACCACTCAGTGAATTGAGTAAATGTTCATAAAAGAAATTGGAGTAAAAAACAACTCAGTGAACTTGCTTAATGTTCATAGAAATACATAACAGTCAAAACAACAACTCAGTGAACTGGGTAAATGTTCATAGAAAAACATACAGTTAAAAAAAAACTCAGTGAACTGGGTAAATATTCATAGAGAAACATACAGTTAAAAAAACTCAGTGAACTGGGTAAATGTTCATAGAAATTCATAACAGTCAAAACAACAACTCAGTGAACTGGGTAAATGTTCATAGAAAAACATACAGTTAAAAAAAAACTCAGTGAACTGGGTAAATATTCATAGAGAAACATACAGTTAAAAAAACTCAGTGAATTGAGTAAATGTTCATTAAAGAAATTGGAGTAAAAAACAACTCAGTGAACTTGATAAATGTTCATAGAAAAACATACAGTTAAAAAAAAACTCAGTGAACTGGGTAAATATTCATAGAGAAACATACAGTTAAAAAAACTCAGTGAACTGGGTAAATGTTCATAGAAAAACATACAGTTAAAAAAACTCAGTGAACTGGGTAAATATTCATAGAGAAACATACAGTAAAAAAAACTCAGTGAATTGAGTAAATGTTCATTAAAGAAATTGGAGTAAAAAACAACTCAGTGAACTTGATAAATGTTCATAGAAAAACATACAGTTAAAAAAAAACTCAGTGAACTGGGTAAATATTCATAGAGAAACATACAGTAAAAAAAAACTCAGTGAACTGGGTAAATGTTCATAGAAAAACACACAGTTAAAAAAACTCAGTGAACTGGGTAAATGATCATAGAGAAACATACAGTAAAAAAAAACAACTCAGTGAAGTTGATAAATGTTCATAGAAAAACATAGTCAAAAAAACAACTCGGAGAACTGGATAAATGTTCATAGAAAAACATACAGTCAAAAAACCAACTCAGAGAACTGAGTAAATGTTCATAGAAAAACATACAGTCAAAAAAACAAATCAGAGAACTGGATAAATGTTCATAGAAAATCATACAGTCAAAATAACAACTCAGTGAACTGGGTAAATGTTCATATAAAAAAATACAGTCAAAAAAACAGATCAGAGAACTGGGTAAATGTTCATAGAAAAACATACAGTAAAAAAAAACTCAGTGAACTGGGTAAATGTTCATAGAAAAACATACAGTTAAAAAAAAAAATCAGTGAACTGGGTAAATGTTCATAGAGATACATACAGTCAAAAAAAAAACAACTCAGTGAAGTTGATAAATGGTTATAGAAAAACATACAGTCAAAACAAAACAACTCAGAGAACTGGGTAAATGTTCATAGAAAAACATACAATACAAACAAAAACTCAGAGAACCGGATAAATGTTCATAGAAAAACATACAGTTAAAAAAAAAACTCAGTGTACTGGGTAAATGTTCATAGAAAAACATACAGTCAAAAAAAAAAAACTCAGTGAACTGGGTAAATGTTCATAGAAAAACATACAGTCAAAAACACCAACTCAGTGAACTGAGTAAATGTTCATAGAAAAACATAAAGTAAAAAAAACCCAACTCAGTAAACTGGGTAAATGTTCATAGAAAAACATGCAGTCAAAAAAAACCAACTCAGTGAACATGGTAAATGTTCATAGAAAAAAATACAGATAAAAAAAACAACTCAGTGAACTGGGTCAATGTTCATAGAGAAACATACAGTAATAAAAAAAAACTCTCAGTAAACTGGGTAAATGTTCATAGAAAAACATGCAGTCAAAAAAACAACTCAGTGAACTGGGTAAATGTTCATAGATAAACATGCAGTCAAAACAAAACTCAGTGAACTGAGTAAATGTTCATAGAAAAACATGCAGTAAAAAACCCAACTCAGTGAACTAAGTAAATGTTCATAGAAAAACATGCAGTCAAAAAACCAACTCAGTGAACTCAGTGAACTGGGTTAATTGTTCATAGAGAAACATGCAGTAAAAAAACCCAACTCAATGAACTGAGTAAATGTTCATAGAAGAACATGAAGTAAAAAACAACTCATTGAACTGATTAAATGTTCATAGAAGAATATGCAGTAAAAAAAACCCAACTCATTGAACTGAGTAAATGTTCATAGAAGAACATGCAGTTTAAAAACAACTCAGTGAACTGATTAAATGTTCATAGAAAAACATGCAGTAAAACAATCAACATGCAATGACAATCAGCTCATGAAAAGCACTTAACTCTAGAATAACTGTAGCATAAATACAAGAACAAACCAATAGTAATTTTGGATTCCTATTGAAGGTAAATAAAAAAAAATAAGTATGACCAATCAAATTTACAATAATTTTTTAGGTTTCATAGGAGTTTTGCCCATACATTAAGGTATTTGACAAATTAAGCATTTTATCTTATCTTTGAAAATCATGTCCATGATGAGAAAAAGTATTGACAAAAACTGTAAACAGTAAAAGTGATCAGCAAAACATGAAGATGAACTAAAATGCCAATATCACCATAATGACTTAAACAATGAACTTTGAAAATAATAGGAAGGTGTGGTATGATTGCCAATAAGACAACTTTCCACCAGAGACCAAATGATGTAGAGAGTCTATACATGTAGGTCACCATACAGCCTTCAACAATGAGCAAACCCCATACCCCATTGCAATGTTTGCATTACACATCATTTCATGTTTTGTTTATAATCTTAAGATCTACCAAATATAAATATAGGAGTTACTGTCTTTTAAAAGAAAATTTTCATGAACTTTAAACATTTGTTAAAGGTGTTTTTAGATATTATGTACTTTTAAATAAGCAAAATGCACATAAACATGATAAAGGAGATTAAAAAAAATCAGTACAGATATTATACTGGTCAACAAGCATCCAATTGACCATGTTGACCTGTTCATACATTTTAATTCATTTATATCTTATTTTGCAGTAAATATACCAGATATCATAGTGTTTTCTTCATAAGTGGACAACAACCAAGATTTAAGCCAACTTGAATGCCATGTATTATTGTCACATAGCAAATAACTATGATTTAGAAATTGTAGTAAAGATCTTTTGCATGATAGAATTCTGTCTAAAATTAGCAAAGGAACAAAGAAGACTTCACTATGGCATCTCTTTCTGTAGAGGAAGAAAACTATGTTAGAATGAGTTATATATAACTGACCAATCAAATGTTATTCATATTGCTCTGTAAATGATAATTTTCATGAACTTAAAGTCTTTTAATGTGTTTTTAGAATTTACTTACTTTGTTATATATGCAAAATACACTAAAATATCAGTATATACAGAAATTATACCAAAAAGCATCCATTTGATCTGTTTAGACATTTAAATTCATTTATGTCTTATTTTTCAGTAAACACATGGTAAATATACCAGATTTCCAAGTGGTTTTCTTCATAAGAGGGACAACAACCAAGATTTAATCCAAATTGAATGCCAGGAATTATTGTCATATAGTGAATAACTATGATTTGAAAGTTATTAATTAATATCTTTTGCTTGATAGAATTCTGTCTACAATTAGGAAAGGAATAAAGGAGACTTAACTATGGCATCTCTTTCTGTAGAGGAAGAAAACTATGTTCGAATGAGTTTGTTATTAACTGGAATTTCTCCTCATGCAGCTAGAACCTTCTTTGATAGTGAATTTGCTCCAGCATGTTTAGATGCTACAATAAAGAAGGAGTATAACAAATTGTTTGACTTAAAAAAGAAGCATAGAATCAACCAATCACAGTGGAATCTCCTGTTTCCTAGATTTCCTGGTATGTACAGAAATTCTTATTTCATAGTACAGAAATTCTTATTTCATAATACAGTGTATCCCTTTCCTAGATACCCAGAAAGTGTACACAAAACTTTGCTTAATTATGTTTATATATATATATTGTTCATAGCCAAACTTTCTGTTCAGAAATATTTCCTATTACAGATGATTTAAATATTATCCTTTTTCCAGTATGACTGTATCTGTTTTTATATGCCCATTTACGAGACGTATTATGGTTAACAGTTGTACATCCATGTCAGTCCTTCTGTCTGTCCGTCCATCCGTCCCTCCATACATCCCAAAGTCGGTATATGTTTTTTAGTTATTGCCCTTGGACAGATAAAATATGTGCAATGCAGATGACAATGTTCTTTAATTATGAATTAAATTTCCCAGCATTGGAGACTATACCTTTTTGTTATATTAAGGAGTCTTTTGCATAACAACTATTAAGATGTACTGTTATTTCCTTGCTTTGTGATCTGAGGAATTGGAAAATATGACCAAATCTTGCTGTTTCAAATGAGAGTCTGTTAAGATATGGTTTTTCTTCACAATTGTCTGTAATAACATTAAATAAAACAAGAACCTATAACAAGCCCCCCCCCCCTCAAATCTCACTTAACTGAGTATGATACGAAAAAGTGATACAAAAATTGTGTTTATTTGAATGGCCTATACAGCATCATGAAACCATATTCCCATATTCCATCATCATCATAAGCGTTAATAGGTCTAATGATAAAAATGGCATATAGTTAAGAAAGAAATAATAGCAGCTGGGTTTATATTCTTGTACCTGGCTTTTAGGTAGGTTTGTGAGCCCCAGTTACCCTCCTTTGAAATATGGTATTACATTTTTTTTCCCAAAAATTATGCTCCTTTGAATCATTATTCACACCTGTGATCAATGAACTCACTATACAATTTTTGAGTAAGAATATTCCCAAGTATTGATTATGCTAAAAATATTATATGAACAGACTTGCTATTTGCTTTTACTTTTATAATCTTTATTATCTTATGTATTTTTTAGATGTTCCAGATTCTAAAACTTTTGATTTGACTTTGATGATACTATTACTGAGGAACTTGACTCCAATGACCCCTCCTCTTTGTGGATTTGACCATTTACCTTCTGCAATGGAGACCACTCATGCTGCAGACTTAGCAAGGATCAAACACTACAGGAATTACCTGGCTCATTTGGATGATGGCAAACTAGACTCGGGGTTCTTCAATCCTGCTTGGAATGATATAACTAATGTATGTATATATATATAGGTTTATTTAACTGATTTTAGGTCACCTGTTGGAAGATATCTGAAAGAAAATTACAAGAAACCATATTAATTTGCCTTACACACACTTGTAAAATTTATTTATGGAAAATATATGTTTCTGATTTTAATCGTCTCACCTGCAAAAAAATTCGCAGAATGTGAGACATACATGGATCATGTTACATAATATAGGAATGCATATTTGGGACAGCTGCATCATCGGTGACAGCAGCAACTTTGTTAACTATTTGTAAATAACACCCTTTATATTTTAAAAGCTACTAGACCTGGATGCTTCATACTTTGTATACAGATGCCTTATATTTCAATGTTTCCATCTGTCATATATCAATTGTGCTTGTCCTCATTTTCCTATTTCAGCAAGTGCTTGAAATAAATGTAGTTTTTGTGGAACCTGTGACATCTGTCGCAGAAAGGTTGACAAAGGGATAGTGATCCAGCGGTAGTGGGGGCGCAAACAAACTTCTTAAAAGCCTTAACCTGGACCTTTCATACTTTGTTTATAGATGCCTTATGTTATGAAGTTTCCGTCACATTTCCATTGTCCTTAACCTCAGTTTCATGGTTCAGTGACTACTTGAAAAAAAGTTAAGATTATTTAGTATTCTGAATTTTTCTCTTGTTATGATTAATAAGATAACTATTTTTGGTGTGTGCGTACCTTGTAAGGTCCTCATGCCTGTCAGACAGTTTTAACTTGACCTGTACCTCATATCATGGATCAGTGAACAAATGAAAGTTTATGTGATAGTTGTAGTAAAGTTTTTTTTAGCACTATCAACATAATATCAAGGGTTAGTAAAAAAGGTGAGACATTCAGTATGTGCACTGTTGTTTACCCTCTTTTGTGTTTTGAGCAAAATCTAAAGAAGATTGAGAGAAGCTCAACAGACAAATTGATTAGCAATGCAAAGACAAACAAAACAGAGATTTTTGTCATGAATTCTATTCTCGTCTTCATTGTTGAATATGCACATAGACAAAGGTGAGTCAGACAGGCTCTTAAGAGCCTTTAGTTTTAAATATAGATAAGAGATCATCAAGTGTATGATAATCTAATCTATGCTTAATTGGTTGATTTTTATTGATTTATTTGTAATGAGACCTATTGTTTACCTTGTCTGTTATTAACAATATCAATGATATCAACAGAGGAAGTTTTAGATATGTTATCTTTTCCTATAATCTTAAGGATTGTGCCGTCTGCAGCAGTAGTTTAATCCAAGAAAGATTGCAAATTTCATGGAAATCTTCAAATTGTGTATAAGCTAGATTGTCCTTGTTGTGTTTCAAGTAATTGGAATTTTATGAATAAATTGTAATTGTGTTTTCCTAAATGTTTTTAAATCAAACTTTTGATTTTCTAAAGTTTTGGAAGTTTTATAGATGTTCTTGTTTGTTATTTATTACCACACTTTCGGCTTGTTTCATGCACATTAAGAAAAAAAGCAAATCTTAAGAGAATTCCAAAAGAATCAAGCCCAGGTTCAAAATATAAAATGAATGAGTGATTCAACAATGTGGTCTTTTAATATACTTAGGATTCATGTATCAAATTTGATTTTCATGGTTGGAGATGGTTTTGCAATGTTTTTGGGGCCGTATTTCCTGATTTAACATTTTCTTGTATCAAAGTTACAAGCACTTTGAATTGTGCCAAGTATTTCAATGTGTCGTTTTCCTCATGTATAAAGTATAATAATAAATCCATAGTACTTTACCAAGCTGATTGCTGTCGATCAGATTTGTGAGAGCTGTGAGCTGATTGCCATAGATCATTGGTTCTTATTGAGACAAAGTATAACTCTCTTCTGAATCTGGATTTTTTTTTATTCAAGTTATGAAGAATGACAAATGGTAAATACCTCATAGAATAACTAAAAAATAATTATTGTATATTTGACAGGCCATAGATAGATTAGGTGGGCAGCAAATGAAGCAGGAGTGTGATCATCTAAAAACCAAACCATTAGATCAAACCAACCAAGAAATAATGATGGACATCAAACATTCTAATAATGAAATCCGGGAACTAAAAGACTCATTTGAAAGTTTGATAAAATCTCATGAATTACTACAAGAACGCCATGCTGAAGTGAAGAAATCTCATGAGATACTACAGGATGACCATAGGAAAGTAACACAAGAAATGGAAACAATAAAGACTTCACAAAAGGATACTGTACCATGGAATATAAGAGGTAAACAGTTTGAAAGGACTAGGGGTTCATCTACTCAATACATTGGGAGATCCCATTTTAACTGATTCCTGGGAATGTGATTAATCATCTCTATTGTTGATAGGTTGATTTCTTGTGTAGAGGTTAGAAAAGGAGGTCTGTTGATGATTTTTATGTTAGCTGTTTCACGAGAGATCAGGTTAGTAGTTTGGGATGCTAGAGATCAATTCTGGAGAGTCATCTGAACACCTTTCAATCAAAGAAGTCAACGGGGAGGTGAATTAAATAGCATGAAATGTCAGAGGTTAACACAGTGAGGTAGGTTGATATCTTGAAGATCAATATTTAAAGAATTCTTGGTTGGTAAGAGGTAGAAACCTTTGGATTTTCAAATGAATTAGAATGTCAAATCTGGTAATATTGTTATGTAGCAAGTATATTGTTTCAGCTTTTTCAGGCTGTTTGTACCTTTATGGTTTTGCATAGCGCAATATTTTAAATTATTCTGGTAGATGCTTGATTTGTAACTTTCTCATTACTTGGCATCCCTCGTACCTCGTCGTCTTTTAACTTTTAAAAAAATCTTCTCTTTTATCAGAGTGATTCCTTTAAACATGTTAAATGAGGATTTTTGTTGAGCCTGTGAATTCTGTCGCAGAAAGCTCGACATACTAGGGATAATGAACTGGCAGCGGAGGCGGCGGCGTTAGTTCACTTCTTAAAAGCTTTATATTTTAGAAGGTGGAATACCTGGATGCTTCATACTTTTTATATAGATACCTTATGTTACGAAGTTTCCGTCTGTCAAATGTCCATTGTCCTTGACCTCATTTTCATGGTTAAGTGACCACTTGAAAAAAAAGTTAAGATTTTTTTGTAATTTTAATTTCTTTATTATTATGATTAATAGGATAACTTTATTTAGTATGTGTGTACCTTGAAGGTCCTCATGCCCACCAGACAGTTTTCATTTGACCTTGACCTCATTTCATGGATCAGTAAACAAGGATAAGTTTTGGTGGTCAAGTCCATATATCAGATACTATAAACAATAGGTCTTCTATATTTGGTGTATGGAAGGATTGTAAGGTGTACATGTCCAACTGGTAGGTGTCATCTGACCTTGACCTCATTTCCATGGTTCAGTGGTCAAAGTTAAGTTTTTGAGTTTTGGTCTTTTTTTCTAATACTATATGCAATAGGTCAACTATATTTGGTGTATGGAAATATTTTATGATGTACACACAGGTTTTATTTGACCTTGACCTCATTTTCACGGTTCATTGCTCAGTGTTAAGTTTTTGTGATTTGGTCTGTTTTTCTTAAACTATAAGCAAAAGGTCAACTTTATACTTGTTTAGCTTTCTAACTATTTTGATCTGAGCGTCACTGATGAGTTTTATGTAGACGAAACACACGTCTGGCGTAACAAATTATAAGACTGGTACCTTTGATAACTACTTGACCTCATTTTCATGGTTCATTGGTCAATGTTTAGTTTTTGTCGAGCCTGTGACTTTTGTCGCAGAAAGCTCGACATAGGGATAGTGATCCGGCGGCGGCGTTAGCTAACTTCTTAAAAGCTTCATATTTTAGAAGGTGGAAGACCTGGATGCTTCATACTTTGTATATGGATGCCTCATGTTACGAAGTTTCCGTCAGTCACATGTCCAATGTCCTTGACCTCATTTTCATGGATCAGTGACTACTTGAAAAAAAAGTTAAGATTTTTTGTAATGTTAAATTCTCTCTTATTATAAGTAATAGGATAACTATATTTGGTATGTGCGTACCTTGCAAGGTCCTCATGCCTGTCATACAGTTTTCACTTGACCTCAAACCTCATTTCATGGATCAGTGAACAAGGTTAAGTTTTGGTGGTCAAGTCCATATCTCAGATACTATAAGCAATAGGTCTAGTATATTCGGTGTATGGAAGGACTGTAAGGTGTACATGTCCAAATGGCAGGTGTCATCTGACCTTGACCTCATTTTCATGGTTCAGTGGTTATAGTTAAGTTTTTGTGTTTTGGTCCGTTTTTCTTATACTGTAAGCAATAGGTCTACTATATTTGGTGTATGGAAGGATTGTAAGGTGTACATGTCCAACTGGCAGGTGTCATCTGACCTTGACCTCATTTTCATGGTTCAGTGGTTATAGTTAAGTTTTTGTGTTTTGGTCTGTTTTTCTTATACTGTATGCAATAGGTCTACTATATTTGGTGTATGGAATGATTGTAAGGTGTACATGTCTAGCTGGCAGGTGTCATCTGACCTTGACCTCATTTTCATGGTTCAGTGGTCAAAGTTAAGTTTTTGAGTTCTGGTCTTTTTTTCTAATACTATATGCAAAAGTTCAACTATATTTGGTGTATGGAAATATTTTATGATCTATATGTCAGTCACGCAGGTTTTATTTGACCTTGACCTCATTTTCAAGGTTCATTGCTCAGTGTTAAGTTTTTTGTGTTTTGGTCTGTTTTTCTTAAACTATAATCAATAGGTCAACTATATTTGTTGTATGGAAGAATTGTTAGCTGTACATGCCTGCCTAGCATTGTTCATCTGACCTTGACCTCATTTTCATGGTTCATTTGTCAATGTTTATTTTACTTGGTTAATGTTAAGTTTATGTGACAGTTGTAATAAAGCTTTATGTTTAGGACTATCAACATAATATCAATGATTAGTAAAGAAGGCGAGACATTTCAGCGTGTGCACTCTTGTCTTGGTTAAGTCTATTTCTTAGAAACTATAAGTCATAGGTCAACTATATTTGGTGTATTAAATGATTGTAAGGTGTACATGTATTTCTTGTTTGGTTTATCTGACCTTGGCCTCATTTTCTTGGATCATGTTAAGTTTATGTGATACTTGTAGTAAAGCTTTATATTTAGGACTATCAACATAAAATCAATGGTTAGTAAAGAAGGCAAGACATTTCAGCGTGTGCACTCTTGTGTTTTTGCTTTTTATGTTTGGGCAAAAATAAAACAAAATAGAGAGACAATGTAAACAGAAAAAAATATCAGCACTACCAGATCATCAATATGTAAAATGAAATTTAGGATTTTGTAATGGAAACAATATTGGAAAGAGAGAAATTATAAACAGCAAAAAAAGGATAAGCATGAATTATTAAGAATGTTATAGAAGTAATCAGGAGAACGTTGATTAACAAGAAATAAATTATACATATAAATTATACACACAGATGTAATATAGCAATTAGCTGATTATTCCTGTAGTGAAATGATGAACTACATTTATTTTCGTGGGTACCAATTTATGTTGATTGACGAAATCTTGCAATTTCTTGGATATGTAATTTTGTTGTTTTACCCAAGTCTGCATTCAACACAGTAGAAAACTTTTAATACATTGAATATTTAAATATGTGGTTCACCTGTCATGCCTGTACCAACGAAATCCAAGCAAATTGGTATCCCACGATTAATAATGAATCCACAGTATGTTATCCAGATATTTTTATGTTAGTAAGGATACAATATTTCTTTATTTATATTTCTATGTCAGTTATGATGATATTTTCCGGAATTTATATTTCAGAAAGAATTAATGATACACTTAAAGATTGGAAGGACAATGATGATAGGATGTTTATAAATACAAGAGCTGCCCAGTATGTACTCAAATGTATAAAAGAAAACAGCTGTGTAACAATTACTGCTAGTTCTGGTGTAGGGAAAACAGCAACACTGAGACATGTGGCTTTACAAATGGCAGAAGAAGAGTTTGATGTCCTTCTGGTGACAGCCCCACATGACATTATTAATTTGTACAATCCTAAAAAGAAAACATTGTTTGTTATTGATGATTTATGTGGAAACTTTTCGCTGGACCAAAGTGACATTAAATGTTGGGAACCAGTCATGGAGGATATAAAAAAAAGTCTGGATAAAAAGCAAACAAAAATACTTGCAGCATGTCGGTTACAAGTGTACCAAGATGAAAAGTTTAATTCTTTATCAGTTTTTAAGTCATGTGTATGTAACATTTTATCTGAAAACATTTGCTTGTCAAAAGTGGAAAAAGAAGCAATAGCTAAAATGTATCTCAATGCAAAAGCCTCTGAGATAGGTGACTTTTATGATATTTATGACTGTTTTCCTCTTTTATGTAAATTGTACCATGATAATCCTGAACTTATTATAACAGATTTCTTTCAAAATCCATTTTCAATTTATGAAGCAGAGATTGATAAGTTTCTGAAGAAAGGGCATTATGCTAAATACTGTGCTTTGGCTTTATGTGTCATGTTTAACAACAAATTAAAGGAAGAAATGTTGACAGAAGAGTTGAATGAAGAAACCAGGATTATCATTGAAAACACATGTGAGGCATGCAGATTAGACAGGGGAACATCAAGACTTGTATTACAGGATGAACTTGACTCACTCACACATACATTCACAAAAAAAGAACAGAACATGTACAAGATAATACATGATAAAATATTTGACTTTCTTGCTAAGATCTACGGACAAAAGATAATCTATTGCTTGATAAAGAATGCCGATAGTAGTTTAATTAAGGACAGATTTTTATTAGAAAGTAATGATGAGATGGATCAGTTTATTACTATAATACCACAAAAATATCATCAGATGTATATACAGAGAATGATTGATGACTGGTCAAAGGGAAAAGTTCAAGATGTATTCAGTAACATCAATATGAAGATATCTCAGTTCACACAGAATTTTCTCTGCTATTTGAAAACACTAGATATATCCTACCAGAGACGACTGGCAAATATCTGTGATGAAGGTAATCCACGTACAAGAACTTTTCTTCCTATGAAGTTTGTGGATGACAATACCTATGATACTTGTTTATTACATTGTTGTTATATAGGAGATACTTCTTTGGTCAAGTGGTGTTGTGATCATGGGGTAAATATACACAGGTGTACATATAATGGTCAGTCACCTGTAATGAAGGCTTGTGAACACGGTCATACAGAAATAGTAAAGATGTTGTTAGACAGAGGAGCAGACTGTAAAAAATGTGACATATTGGGTCAGTCACCTGTAATAAAGGCTTGTGAACATGGTCATATAGAAATAGTGAAGATATTGTTAGACAAAGGAGTCGACTATAATAAATGTGATAATAATGGTAAATCATCTGTAATGTTGGCTTGTGGACATGGTCATACAGAAATAGTGAAGATGTTGTTTGAAAGAGGAGCAGACTGTTATAAATGTGACATATTGGGTCAGTCACCTGTTATAAAGGCTTGTGAACATGGTCATACAGAAATAGTAAAGATGTTGTTAGACAGAGGAGCAGACTGTGATAAATGTGACAGGAGGGGTCAGTCACCTGTAATGAAGGCTTGTGAACATGGTCATACAGAATTAGCGATAATGTTGTTAGACAGAGAAGTAGACTGTAATAAATGTGACAATTTGGGTCAGTCACTTGTAATAAAGGCTTGTGAACATGGTCATACAGAAATAGTGAATATGTTGTTAGACAGAGAAGTAGACTGTAATAAATGTGACATATTGGGTCAGTCACCTATAATGAAGGCTTGTGAACATGGTCATACAGAAATAGTGAAGATGTTGTTAGACAGAGGAGCAGACTGTAATAAATGTGACATATTGGGTCAGTCACCTTTATTGAAAGCTTCTCAACCTGGTCATACAGAAATAGTGAAGATGTTGTTAGACAAAGGAGCAGTCTATAATAAATGTGATAGGTTGGGTCAGTCACCTGAAATGATTGCTTGTGAACATGGTCATACAGAAATAGTAAACATGTTGTTAGACAGAGGAGCAGACTGTAATGAATGTGATGATGATGGTGAATCACCTGTAATGAAGGCTTGTGAACATGGTCATACAGAAATAGTGAAGATGTTGTTAGACAGAGGAGCAGACTGTAATAAATGTGACATATTGGGTCAGTCACCTTTATTGAAAGCTTCTCAACATGGTCATACAGAAATAGTAAAGATGTTGTTAAACAGAGGAGTAGACTACAATATATGTGACTGGTGGGATGAGTCAGCTTTAATAAAGGCTTGTTTATACGGATATACAGAAAAAGTGAAGATGTTGTTAGACAGAGAAGCAGATTACAATAAATGTGACATGTTGGGTCAGTCACCTGTAATGAATGCTTGTGAACATGGTCAAACAGAAAAAGTTAAGATGCTGTTAGACAGAAAAGTAGACTGTAATAAATGTGACATGATTGGTCAGTCACCTTTAATGAAGGCTTGTGAACATGGTCATTCAGAAATAGTTAAGATGTTATTAGACAAAGGAGCAGACTGTAATAAATGTGATGATGATGGTAAATCACCTGTAATGAAGGCTTGTGAACATGGTTATACAGAAATAGTAAAGATGTTGTTAGACAGAGGAGCAGACTATAATAAATGTGATCAGTCAGCTTAAAAAACTGCCTATGAAAGAGGTCACAATGCTATGATTCATCAACATTCCTGTCAAAAAATAGTTTGAAATTAAAGTTTAAACAATTTTTTTAATGTTTTAAAGGTTGTCATTAATGCTATGCTGATATTCAAACTTGTGTGTGGTATATGTGAATACGAGTTCAATTGACAGTTTAATGTACTACCTATTTTCAAGAGACATACAAGTTATTGCTTATATTGCTTGACATATTAGAAATATGTGCATTTAAATCTATAATAAATATTAATATTTATCTGAGTTTTTTTTTTACAAAATACAAATATTAGGACAAAACATGTAATAGTCAAAGTGACATTGTACTATGATGAAAAGATTTGCTATAATTGTAAAAAAAATGTTTTACATTTATTAATAGACTATTGTAATCAGGTATGTTACTATAGTAGAGAAATAGATTTTATTGTAAAGAATAATATGTTAACATAGTATAGTTATCACATATACTTTTATTTCAAAGCTGCATTTATGTTGAATTAAATTTTGTCCACATCAGTCAAGAGTGCCGGCATCTCCTCTTTTTGTTAAAAATATTGTCTCGCAACCAAATTTCAGTAGTTTGGAACCTCAGGCTGACTCGTACAACAAAATTATTTGACAGCATCTACCAAAATTAACCATATTTGCACTTTATTATGTAAATCTATATAGCCGCATAATAATTCAGTAATATTTTTATGTCGGGATGGCTTGTATAATACAAATGACAGCAATATTGGAACACAATGACTACAAAATGTTGTCCGCATCAAATAAGAGAGCCAGCATGTCCTCTTTTTGTTACAAAATATTGTCTCTCAACAAAATTTCAGTAGTTTTGATACCTCAGGCTGACTTGTACAACAAAATTATTTGATTGCATCAACAAAAACTGACCATATTTGCACTTTATTATGCTTATTTAAAAAGCCGCATAAAAAAATCAGAAATATTTTTATGTCAGGAAAAATTGTATAATACAAATGACAGCAATATAGGAACACAATGACTAAAAAATTTTGTCCGCATCAATTTATATTGCCAGCATGTCCTCTTTTTATTCAAAATATTGTCTCCCAACAAAATTATAATAGATTTGATATCTCAGGCTGACTCGTATGACAAAAATATTTTAACCCATGAACCAAAACTGACCATATTTGCACTTTATCATGTTTATTATGTAAATCTATATAGCCGCATAGTAAATCAGCAATATTTTGATGTCAGGATGGATTGTATAATACAAATGACAGCAGTATTGGAACACAATGACTACAATATTTTGTCCGCACAAATTCAGAGTGCCAGCATGTCCTTTTTTTATTCAGTATATTGATACGTAACAAAAATTCAGTAGTTTTGATATTTAAGGCTGACCATGCTGATTCGTACAACAAAATTATTTGACTGCATCAACCAAAACTGACCATATTTGCACTTTATTATGTAAATCTATATAGAGGCATAATAATTCAGTAATATTTTTATGTCAGGATGTATTGTATAATACAAATGACAGCAATATTGAAACACAATGACTACCAAATTTTGTCCTCATCAATTTAGATTGCCAGCATGTCCTCTTTTTATTCCATATATTGTCTCGGAACAAAATTTCAGTAGTTTTGTTACCTCACGCTGACTTGTACAACAAAATTATTTGACGGCATCAACCGAAACAGACCACATTTGCACTTTATTATGTAAATCTAAATAGCATGTTATTGTATAGCCGCATAGTTAAATAGTAATATTTTTATGTCAGGATTGAATGTATAATACTAAAGACGGTAATATTGGAACACAATGAATACAAAATTTTGTCCCCATAAACTTAGAGTGCCAGCATGTCCTCCTTTCGTTCGATAGATTTGTTACGTAATACATTTCAGTAGTTTTTATACCTCAAGCTGACTCGTATAGCAAAATTATTTGACCGCATCAAACAAAACTGACCATATATGCACTTTAGAATGTAAATCTATATAGCATTATTATAAATCAGAAGTTTTTATGCCCCCGCCGTAGCGGGGGGCATTAAGTTTTACCCTTGTCCGTCTATACTGACGTACGTACGTACGTCCCAAAATTGGTTTCCGTTCTCTAACTTGAGTTTGCCTCAACCAAATGACATGAAACTTATACACAATGCTTAATACCACAAAACACAGATCAAGTTTGAATTTTGGTGGCGTCACTTAAACCGTTCTAGAGTTATGCCCCTTTATAAATGGAACAATTGCAAATTTTTTAGTTTCCGTTCTCTGACTTAAGTTTGCCTCAACCAAATGTTATGAAACTTATACACAATGCTTATTACCACAAAACACAGATCAAGTTTGAACTTTGGTGGCGTCACATTAACTGTTCTAGAGTTATGATCCTTTATAAATGGAAAAATTGCAAAATTTCTATTTCTTCTAAATATCAAGTAATTTTTAAAATTGGAGTTATCTTCCTTTGTCCATGATTATAGTTGAATCAACTACAATCAATGCTTTATACAATGCAATGTTTAATTTTGACTTCTACTGATAAAACACAGATCAAGTTGAATTTGAGTAGTGTCACTTTAACCATTATTAAGTTATGCCCCTTTATAAAAAGAAAGATTGCAAAATTTTTAGTTTCCATTCTGTAACTTAAGTTTGGCCCAACCAAACTTTATGAAACCTATACACAATATTCATTAACACAAAACTAAGATCAAGTACAAATTTTTTGTTTCCGTTTTCTAACTTTAGTTTGCCTCAACCAAATGTTATGAAACTTATACACAATGCCTATTACTACATAATACAGATTAAGTACGAAATTTGGTGGCGACACTTTTACCATTCTTGAGTTATGTCCCTTTATAAACATAAAAATTGCTGAATTTTTCGTTTCCTTTCTCTAACTTTAGTTTGTCTCAACCAAATGTTATAAAACTTATACACAACCGTTCTAGAGTTATGCGTGTTTACAAATAGAAAAATTTCTGAATTTTTAGTTTCTGTTCTCTACTTAAGTTAGCCTCAACCAAATGTTATGAGATTTACACACAATGCTTATTACCACATAAATCAGATCAAGTTCAAATTTGGGTAGCGTCACTTTTACCGTTCTTCAGTTATGTCCCTTTATAATTATATTATATGCAAGCGGGGGCATCATCTGTATCCACATGTGGACACTATCCACATTTATTTTTTATGTCAGGATGGATTGTATAATACAAATGAAAGCAATATTGGAAAACAATGAATACTAAATCTGCATCAATTTAGAGTGCCAGCATTTCATCTCTGTATTCGTAATATTGAACTGTCGCTAAAGTCAGTAGTTCAGTATGGTTTGTATAATAAAACTATTCGACCGCATCATCCAACACTGACATGACTGATTTCATTTGTACTTTACAATGAAAAGTATGAGAAGTTCACTTCTGGGAAAAGTATACTGTTAGTATATTATGTCGGTTGATTGATTTTGTTGGTAGCTAAACATCAAGTGGTAAATATTTCATTCATGTTCACAACGAGTATATTTTTTCGGACGTCCCAGATATCATTTATAATCCATAAAGGATTTATCTGACGAAATTGACGAGATTGTTCATAATTAAACACCTTATGTACAATAACACTGTACAATTTTCTTTTGAACATTTTGTCGAAAACTGAATTGTAAATCCAAGGCAAACATGGTGAAATATCCTTGTAATACATAGCGTTAAATTTAGGAAGAGACTGTAAAAAATGGGAACGAAGCAACGTCAACAATGATGTTGATATCTAATGATATAAAAATATTGTTCCGATGCGTTGGATAACCTTTCTATCCGCCTTTTAATTAAACAAAAACTTTCCTTTCCTTGATGATAGCTGCATGTGACCACACGTGTGTACTTTTATAGCCATTGTTTATGTAAATAAGAATATGAACTGAAAAAAAGATTTTTTTAATGTGTATAATATCTATATATAGAGTCTAACAAGTAAAGTAATTTGCTATACTGGGAAAAAGAACAAAACGATTATGTTTTACATAATAAAAGGTAAGGTCTTGTATGAAAAGTCTTAAACACGGTAATTGGTCATAAACAGACCTGTCCACATGTCTGGTCAGTAGCAGAACTGTCCACAGGTCTGGTCAGGAGCAGACCTGTACACAAGTCTGGTCTTGGCAGACCTGTCCTCAGGACTGGTCAATAGCAGACTTGACCTCAGGTCTGGTCTGGAGCAGACTTGTCAATAGGTCTGCAGCAGTCCTAAAAAAGCAGACCTAGGTCTGGTCTACCAACGACGAAGTTAACGTGCCTGTCCGCTTAAAATTTCTCGACTGCACCCATCTGTATAATTGTTAAAGATATTTACTTATCTTAAGTGAAATGCACAAATATTTAACATATAGTTCTATTATAGAGAGACATTACTATTTTCAAACGATATATTTCTTTTGTTAAAAAGTGTTTTGTGATTAGGAAGACAGACTAAATATGATGCCACTATTGTTTAAATGCCTACTATGCTCTCATTAAAAATGTAAATCAAATCAATGGTCACAATATTTAATTTGAACAAAGTAAATTAATGAATACTAAATGTATAAGATTTTTGTAAGAGTTTGCATCCAACTTGGTCATACTTAACTTTAATGGAAATGGAAAAAATAAATATGTTGTATGAAAAGGTTCGTTTTTTTCTTGACAAAACAGATCATCTAAAAGCAATTTTGGAAAATTTGAACTATTTTTACATGTTTATGTTTTGTTTTTTTTTGTCATTATTTGTCCTCTCATTCTAACTAATCATTGTTGATCAAAGATTTTTAATCGGATTTTCGAAGGAAAATTTGGTTATTGATTTGGGGATGTACGGCAGGGCGGGCGGCTGCCAAACAGTGTCCGTTCATTAACATAAAAACGCTTTGACGAAATTTTTTCATATTAAGATATGTTGTATTTCATGTGACTAAATGAAGGTCAAATTCAATTTTCACGATTTTAGCTTTTCTCGTTGTTGAGTTATAGTCCTTTCCCAAGAATTCAATTTTTGATGAATTACTCCATTTCTGTATCAAAGGAAATAACTCATTTTTTAAAAGATTTTTAAAAGACATTGTATTAATGATAAATGACATTTTTGATTTTTTTCTTTTATTTGGTAAATTGTTTGAAGAATTTTGTGGTAAGGTTTGTTTGTCATTCTGTATAAACTAATTTTCTGATTGTTATATATATATATATATATATTTTTTTTTATGAAGTGAACTCCTTTAATTAGATAATAATCTATTTTTATTAAAGGATATATTTCATTTCATTACATTGTGTAGATAACGTTGTTGACATTAATAGATAAGTTGCAGATCTATATTAGTTTGTGACAAATGAAAAAAAAAATATTTGGAACTATCTTTATATTTGATTATAATTTAAAAATAGATAAACATTGTGTAACATC